CTTATGTTTTCTGGAAATTAAAAATACCTTAAAATGTTAATTATTTTTCTTTGATTAAGTTTTTATACGCATAAACTAAGTTTATTTTGTTTGTCACTGTAATTTTACACTTGCTCAATATGATTTCAGGTTACAGAGGGAACTACAGTGCAAAATATGTAATTGATCGACATCTCGCGATACTTGGAAAGCGCGAGCTTTGCGCAGTGAGAACTGCAGGTATTTCGCCATTGCTGGAGGAAGGCTTGTGAATTTCGATGTTTGGCCGTCAACAATAAATTTGAGCAGCGGGAAGCGGAGGAGGTTGAGAGAAAGCCCGTCGGCTGCTCCCTAAACCAGTAGTCACCCCTGTCCCTTCCTGGCGAACACTTTAATGTGAATACAGATCACATACGGACGAGGCAACCATGTCCAATCTCAGCAAAGGCGGCACCAAGAAGGACACCAAAATGAGGATACGGGCCTTTCCTGTAAGTGCACCCCGCAGTTAGTGCTTCGGCTGCCGGGCGGCCGATAACTCGATCACCGCGGCTTTTGGCCACCGGCTCAATGCTAAAAGGCTAACCAGTGGAGCTGTAGATATGACTTGTCTATCTGTAAACAAAGTGGGGCCGTCAAAAAGGTCCAGTCATCACCTATTTGTTGTCGTTAAATCAACTACCCAATATATCTTAACAACTTGGTTAAAAGTTCTAGGAATAATTTTGCTGTCATTAACATTTGAATAAAAACTACGGTAGCAGTCGACACACACAGCCACTGCTAGCAGCAATAATCCCCTCTCTTCTTGACACTTGTTGTTTTTACTGCTTCGTTCTCTTCTGCAAATGTTTTTGCTATACCCCTTAAAATTACAGCTGTATTTGCAGCAAAGTGCTGTCAGAATCCAAATCAAGTTGATTCATTTCGCACCTTTAAAAACAGCTACTGTCGGACAAAGTGCTTCACACGACAAATAGGAAAAAACAAACACAAGAGACCATAAAAACAAGACAGTAAACCCTCAGAACATGAAAATGTCTCCATGCTGCCCTGTAGGAGTAGCACTGATGGTTTCACTGGTACCAAAAATAATCGCTTCAGTTTTATTCTCACTGCATTTTAAGATGTTTGAATCCATTATCTCAGTGAACAGTGTTTTCTGTGAAAAATAATAATTGTAGATCTGACTGTTGTCTGTGTAAAAATTAAAACTGATGTTATGTTTTCTAAAGATGTTAAGAGGAGCATGTAAATAGATAATGGGTCCAAGAAAAAGTCCTTGGAGAACTCCACATACAAGGGTTTGCATTTTCCAAGTTCAGCAATGCAAACACAAGAACCTGAACAAGAATATAATTGCAGCGAGTCTCAAAAGCACAAAAACAGACTATAAAGGCAGGCAGACAGCCACACACACTACCATCCTGCAGTGTGCAAAACGGTGCACATACTATTGCGATGAAGACATGACTTGGGATAAATGAACAGATACTTAAGTATTTCAACTTAAGTATATCGAATAAGAGACATACTGTTTTTATTATTATTATTATTATTATATTGTCTCTAACATTTTCATCACTTATCTTGCTCTCAGCCTTGCAGTTGTTTGATATTCACTTGCATGTAGGGGGCGGGCATGGTCCATCCGATTGGCCAAATATGTGCTGGGCTCCATTTGGTCAAATACTTCAAGCTTCTGCATGATTGACAAAACGCATAAATGCAACCATTTGAAGTTTATGCAGTTTTCTCTGATATGCTTAWTGCACAGACTGTCATGGCAATGACGATAAATTTTCAATATATTGTGCAGCTCTAATCCTGGTATTCTGTGTGCATTTTTTGCGCATAAGAACTAATTGCAATTGTTTGCAGCTTGAAATGGGCGCTTATACTAACCATATTTGCTAATGTCTAAGTTTTGCAGCAGTGTCTGTAGAATAAAATAGCTCTCTCTGTTATCTACTACGGAAATTTGTATTTTGTTTGTTCTGCTTTTGTCTGTAAGTCACGTTATTAGACTGACCTCATTCAGTATCATATTATACTATACTGGCCTACATTTGTCACAGGCAGAGTGAGGATGTAGCTACATCATCCAGGTAGTCACCCTGAATGGGTTGCACATCTTTTTTGAATAGTTTAATATTTTGTGTTTATGACATTCTTGGTTTAATACATTACAGACATACAGACACATGTGTGACCCATTTTTGTCAGTTAGACTGTGACGCATGTGTGTGTTTGGGCTTGTCTAATGAGAAAAAACACTTCCTTCTCATGCATTAGCATTTCTTTAGTAACTAACAAATCAGACTTTTTGGAAACCTGGTGACATGTAGAGTAGATCTGCTTATGTTTTAAGCTTTGATGAAAGTCCTAGTTATATAATAAATGTGGGGGAAATGCTGCTACAAGCTCAGAAATGTAATGTGAACACTCACAACTTTTACATTTGTATCAGTTTTGTTGCATTTATATATATATACCTTAAATAATTGCACACTTTTTTCTTCCTGGTAAGAGACATATGTATTTATCTTGGCTTGTTTTTGTTCTTTCTGATATTTCACATAATAAGATATGACAGAGCATTGAGCATAACATTTTTAATAGACATGCTGCCTAATCAATAGGTTTTTTTTGTAGAACATATAAGTAGTATGTCAGAAAGAGCAGCAATAAAAAAGTAAATCATTATGAAATCTAGTAAAACTCACGTTAACTGTACCAGCATGCCTAATATATTTCAGGATTTCTTAACAGAAAGGTGTCTTTTGCCATAAAAACACAGTTAAAAGGAGGGTTGACTTGATGTTTATGTTGTGGTTTAACAAAATCTTCTATTTTAAGACATTCAAGTTTTATAACCCATAAATACCATGTATTCATTAGCTTTAAAACCCAGTGTTTCTCTGTAGGATCCAAGCAGAGGTGTCTCAGTAGATCAGTAGGATCTGCTCATAGGTTCATTAATAAGTGTTATGGTAACAGCATTTGTGAGACATACAATGAGCTTTCTTTTGACATGACCCATATCTTTTTCTAAATGACCCATCAACTCTCTTTCTGATTTAACACATTGCATTATTATCAGCTGAACAAGTGTACATTATTCTACCCATAATCATTTAAATAATTTATGGAGTTGTTTAAGATAACATACACAGTAGAGAATTTATGATCAGAACCTCCCCCTCCAGTACATGTTGTAGTATATGAGTTTACATGTATGTGAACTAATGTGCAAGAAGTTGATTGTTACAGAAGTGGTTAAAGTATTTGGAAAAGTTGTAATGTATAAATAACACATTTACGATACCTGAGTATTTACTGAAGTATGTAGGAATATGCATTTTAACGGTGCGCAGCGCTGTGTCTTCTGAATAAATGAAAAGGATTTAACACAGTTGTTTATACTTTTAGCAGCTCTTTTTATCCCACAGCTGAGCTGCTAAAAATGACAGATTTTCTTTTCTGGATCTCTGACAGACGGACTTCAATCTCTGAACTCGTAAAGTTCTTTTTAGTTTTCGCTGTCATTTTCATGAATGGACACTTCCTGATATCTGAGGCAGGAAACATAGCCTTATATGGTGTTTTTGGGATGGTAATTATGCTAATCTCCTCTCGCGTGCACGAGCAGCTGGATACGAACAGGTGTAATTTACGCAGCTCATTTACACACTTTTCCTGAAGATAGAAGAGTTTGTTGAATCTGACATGACATGTTTGTACGAACCCTTCGTACGAACAAAAGATAAGAATACGAACATGTTCTTGCATGAGGCCCATTGTTTTTGCACTGCAAGAGCTTGGTTGAGAGGTTGAAGTCAAGATGTTTTCATTTAGTAAATGTCAGTGATTTAGAGGTAGGACAGGTTTTTACAGATGCTGAACAGCTTAACAACAAAGGCTACTCTTTTGCAGATGACAATGGATGAGAAGTATGTCAACAGCATCTGGGACCTGCTGAAAAATGCCATCCAGGAAATCCAGAGGAARAACAACAGTGGCCTGAGTTTTGAGGAACTTTACAGGAACGCCTACACAATGGTGCTTCACAAACATGGAGAGAAGCTGTACACGGGCCTGCGAGAAGTTGTAACTGAACATCTTATCAACAAAGTAAGACTGAAAGATATTTTTTAACCTAGACTAAAGAGAAATGATCAAGTGAATCAAAAATTTTAGTTAGTTTGAATTGCACAAATAATTTACAAAAATGGATATTTTATCTGGTCCTTTGATCTTTTTCATTCCCACTGGGGGCTAAATAGAGTTCTGGTTGTAACATTTTACCATCCAAAACACTCTTTGGTCTGGAGGGAAACTTCTGGATCCAGTGTGGTGCATTCAGCACTGAAAACATCTGATGGGTTAAATACTCCCAGTGACTCATTCCTGATTTTCTCTGTCATCTCTGGTTTAATCTCTACAACAGCTCACAGAATGTCAAATTCAAGTTGTCTCATTAACAGTTGAGCATGTTTTTAAACAGCATTTGAACTCAGGCATTCATGCCCACTTAAATCAGAAATGGCGTAGAAAAATAATTATGATAGCAGAGTAAGACAAATAATGAGAACGAAAACAGCCGTTAAATCAAGCAGTGAAACGGGAATAAAAAGGGTATTGAAAGTTTATCAGTGTTTATACTCTCGGGCACAAAAAATACACCCAAAATTCTGTAGAAATATGCTCATTTGTACGGATCAACAACGTCTTTGCATAGTTTGGGCTTCCAGGCAGTTGGGAGCTCTGTAGGGATACTTCAGGTCTCTGCAGTGGAGCTCATTAAACTCAGAATTTTTTTATCTTGTGTAGGACTGCAACTAACGATTATTTTAATAATCGATTAATCTGTCGATTATTTTTTCAATTAATCGATTAATCGGCCAAATCCTTAAAACTCTTAATTACATGAATATGAGTAGATAAAAAATTATTTCATTCCTCTATAAATTAACGATGCAAGTTATTAATGAATTAATCTGAAGTTGATTTATCTTATAGATTGACCAACAATTAATTGATAAGAAGCCATTTTCTTAAAAACTAGAGTTTTCTCTTGAATCAAGAGGGTCTTTCCATAAAATGAAGGATTTTTTTATAATCTCCTGAATTAAAAAACAGAAGCACATAATAACTATTTTAACAATTTATTTTGCCAGTTATATTAAATAACGACAGAAAAAAAAAAGTGTATTTCTCATACATGAAACAAAACAGAAATTTAATAGGTTGCTGAATGAGGAAAATAGATTAAAATATGATTTTTMGRTGTAAAACTATTATTAAYTTATTATAATTAGAATTTATTTACATTTAACATTTATAATTTTTCTGTAATTCTTTACTTTTTGCTTCGTTCTTGTTGGTTCTGTCTGACTTTGACCCAGTATGATGGTTCTGAAGCATCGATTTTTATCGATTTTATCAATTCGTTGTTGCAGCCCTAATCTTGTGGACTGAATATGCAGACTGCTCGTGCGTCGAGGTAAAATTTCTCTTCAAAACTTGGTGCTAGGTCTCTGGTAAATCCAAAAATTATAGAAACACACAAAAAATGTATATGTTGACAATAGAGGTCGATTGACATGAGGTTTTCTTTGGCTGATGGCCAGTAGAGTTTTGTTTTTGATGTCAATTGGTATTTCTCCATTTAACAAAATATGATAAATTTAAACTTAAACATATATTTACCAAACTTTAAAAGGACTTGAACACTTCTAAATAAAATAATATAAAAGAGCACTTGCACAAATGAGAAAATTAAAGGATAAGATTTTACAAGCTATGTCTTCAAGCTTTAATTATACATTTTGTAAGATGTCTTGCTTCCTGTTTGACTTGAAAGTGTCCAGATTTATACAGTAATACAGTATCTGTATAATTGGCTTTGTTTCAGGTTTAGATGGGAGCTCATTCGTCTGATGAATGCAGCTCAGTTGTCATTTTAAAAAGTGTACTTTAATAATATTTTATACAACAGTCATTACTTCCTAGTTGTGACTATTAAAGGGAGATCATGCAAAATCCACTTTTTGTAGTTTAATTTTGTGGTGGACTTGGAGTCTCTAAGATTGTAGAAAAGTTAAATTTTCTCCCAGTGCTGCATAGATATCTTTATATTCTGATACTAGGGTCGTATATTTCAAACCGTTCAGTTTTATCAATTTACTATGACGTTTTCTGAGCTATTAYGTCAAATTATTTGTGACGGAACTACCAAATAAGGTCAGGACTTACTAACTACAGTTTGGTCTTCATTCTCCTCTGGCTCCACCATGTTAGGCTGGATGGACAAGTCTTCTGTTGTTGTCATCTTTTAATTAATTTGTAAATAAAGTTTCAGCACTAATCTTTGTGTGTCTAAAACACAAATGATCGAATACACTTYTTATAAAGCTCTTTAATGTCTGGACAGACACCAGTAGATGAAATTGTGCATCAGTTATTGATAAAGATGCTTCAAACCTCAGCAGTTTTCATTTTGTGCTTAATATGTCTTTGACTAGATCATAATCTAAAATACAAACACACATATAAAATGCATTAGAAATAGTCAGAACAGACAAATTAGTCTTATTTTCCAGTTACTAGCAATAATAATATCTCTATAAACCTCACATTTATAATCTGTGAGTGCAATGAGGTTTTTTTTTTCTCCTCTACCATCTGGTTAAAATGTGTGTGGGGAGGAGTGTTTATGATGTTGAATTGAAGTAAGGTGAGGAGCACAGGCGATGATTCATCTTCTTCACTGAAGTGGGTGKGGGGGTGGAGGTCATTGTGCCCTCAAGAATCCTACTCTACTGAGGCACTTAGTTTAGCTGAGTCACTCTGCAGTGGGACTGTTATYAGGCTGTAGTACCTGACTTGCTATAAAAAGAATGTCTTAAAAAATGTCAGAGTCACATGAAAACAGTATATCACAAATATCAGCTTAATCCTTTTAAACATTAAATATAGAATTTGCTTTTGTCTTGGTCTGTCGCTGAGACTGAGATTTACCTTTATGTTTTACTCCCTTACAGGTTCGAGAAGATGTTCTCAATTCCCTAAACAATAACTTCCTTCAAACGTTAAATCAGGCCTGGAATGACCATCAGACAGCAATGGTGATGATCAGAGACATCCTGATGTACATGGTGAGTGAGTGAGTAATAAAGAACAGTATTTCCCCTAGGAAATTGGTCTTGGGGGTGGGGGGTGCGCTACTTGTTTTATGAAAACATAAATTTACGTGACTCACCTTCAGTTATGGTAATAAATTTACACATACATGAATATTTAATTGCCTAACTACATCCTAAAGTTAAGGACTCCTCATGATAATTATTAATAATAATTTATCGTAGCAAATTATTTTATTTTATTTTATTTTTTTGTCTGTCTATCGTAGCAAATTATTATTGATAATAAGTGATTAGAACTGTGTGCAGCAGATGATCTGAGTCCAGAGTTCTCAGTTTGAAACCTTCTGGAGCTCTTCTGTGTGACTCTAGGTGTGACAGAGTGTGGATGGTTGATGGTCTCTTTTGTGTCCCTGATGGAGACTGGAGACCTGTCCAGGTGTCTGGACAGGTTGTTTGTAAATATATTTGACAGTTTTGTAGGAATGAACACGTTTGTAATGTTTGTTCAAAATAAACCTGCTTCTTATGACTTCTGTAACATGTTTTGAATAAAATATTATCAGTAAAAACCTCAAATCATGTCCTTTCTAAGAATTAGAACTCTCTTGTAGATATAAAGAATAACATTTAGAAAATGCAGTTATGCAACTATCAAGAAAACTTCCTCTCAGTCACTGAAAATAATCTATTTACCACATTTTAAAGACCGATTATTATCTGGGCCCTTAAGGGTTAATGCTCCTGAATGGGACTCTCTGACCTGCGGTGTGTGACAGAGGAGAGGAGCTCGATGTTTGAGTCCAGCAGGACCTGTACAGCAGCTGATTCTGTCTGGATTTGAGTTTACAAACTACTCTGCTTACTTTTTTCAAAGTTGAGGGACATTACAGCCGCGCTGCTGATCAGCGCTGTTTATAGAACATGAACTGACTCGCAGGAACCTGGTCGCACGCGGGGTCTGTGTTGGTGATTCTAAATTATTGATCAGGTAACAGTGCTGTGGCTTCACCTGTCGCATTTTATTTTAAAGAAAGAAAAAGTAGCTTGCAAAGCTGTCGCATCGGTGCTACGTGATTAAAAGCAGAGTTTTCATCGCGCGCGCACACACACGTCTTCCTATCTTTGTGAGGACCACAGACAGCGCTCAGACTCGCTCTGTGCCATGTTTTTTCCCCAAGTTTGGTGAGAGGTGGATATGGAGGGACGCAAAAAATAGCTCTGGACTTGATCTGGACTTATTTAAATAAAAATGACTACATGCCGTGAAATTGTTATAGGGGCGGGCCGTCTCGTTGGCGGGGGGGCCCGCCCCGCCTGTATAATGGTAGGGGAAACACTGAAGAAACATTCATCAGCCATGACACACACAAGTAGTTTCCTGTTATTCCAACAAAACCGCTCTAACTAGTCTGAAAGAATATTGTTTCAATATGTGGATATTGATAGATCGTCAGAAATGTTTGGTTTGGTGATGTGTTTAAATATCACATGAATTCTAAGAAGTAAGTGTTTCCAGTTAAAGTTACTTTGCAGCAACAGTTACTTTACCGGTGAGTGGGTTTAACATCAATGCTGAGTGATGTGAATGAGTCAGAACATGTAACTGAGACATCAGTTGTGTTTACCACATAGCCTTGCAGCTCTCAGTGAAATGATTAAAGGTGTTAATAATGTATTTTAACAACTGAGCTGAAAATTACTCAACCTTTAAAATACATCAACAACAGTGAGTAAAATTCTTACTTTCAAAACCCTGAAGTTGTTAGATCTTTTGAAGTGAAAGCTAATAATCAATTAATATTTTACCAGATGTAGATAGATTTTAAAATGACCTCAGTTTGGAGACTGAACTSACGGCTAGTCTGAGCGTGGCGATGTCTAATGTGGATTGCTGACATTTTTAAATTTTTTCATGCAAACACTAATAAATATTTCTCAGTTTTGACTTTCTTGGTTATTTATATAGAATACTATGACAAATAGTAGTAGTGTCAGCTAGCTGTAGCACTTTCAGTGCAACCTGGGGTCCTTTTGTTAGCAGTATAACATTTCTTCCAGAATAACCATGTAATGTTAAATTAGTGGCATTGTAATGGTTTACTAAAGAGCATTTACATAAAATATTTCAGTGTGAGGTGTTTTTAAGACAGCAGGTCTGGGCTGCACTCTGACAGTCACCTCATCAATCAGGTCAGTATTGAACTAATTTTCTCCAAACTGAGGTCAGTCAAAGAGCTGTCTACTAATCTATAGTATTAAATGTTCAGAAACCTTTCAATAAACCCCCTTTTAGGTCCCCTATCTTCAAGAAAAACTCAAAACCCACCTGTTTAAAATAGTTTTTAATGTTTAAATCTGCCAATTTTATGTGTTATGTTGCATTGTTTGATTTTATATTGTACTCCTGTAAAGCATTTTTAAGTACTTAGAAATTTGCGATACGATACCGATATTGACCTGATATCATATCAGTACGAATCACACTTTTACCTATTTTGTAGTGTGAAATCTTAGAAAAGTCTTGATCAAGTCAAACAGTGAAAAAGAGTAGGTATGAGAAAAATTGACCCATTTATTTTTAACCAATGGATCACATACATTCTACAATTTAATAAAATAAATTAGAATACCCTGAAAAATAAAACATAATAAAAACAAAATGTACTTTTAAAGTGTAAAATAACAATTCAAAGTCACTCGAGTTATTTTTATACTATCTGTCAGCCTGGTGCTGCTTTATGGTGGGAAAAACTGAAGGTTGGGACAAAACAAAAGCCCACATTATTGTCCAACTGTTCAAAGTTAAGAGTCCACAKCTCCAATTTTACTGACTGTACCCAAAATAGCGTGATCATTTCACTTAATCTTCACTAAAACAAGTGTGTAAACAGATTAAACATCACTCTAATAACAAGAGCAAAAAATAAATAGTAAGAATTAGTCAGTTATTTAAATTGAAGACCTTTCTTACTGCTGCATTTCCACTTTCTACAGTCTGAGCATCATGTAGAGATCAGCCTCTCGCTCCTGCAGGGAGCAGTTTTTAGCACTGAAACCACCGACCTGAGAGGAGGTTCTGAAACAGCACGGCTGTGCTGAGACACTTTTGGACCGAGCTGAACAGCATAGCTGCTGCCAGTGTGGAGAGTGGTTATTGCTCCGGTTTAAAACGTACACAGTTCTGTTCCCCCACAGAAAACTTGTGCATGACAACTTTGCACTTAGCTTCAACTCTGTTTTTGATGAAAATAGAAAGTACTGCAGACATCGCTCCTACTTCTTGCTACTTTGTTAGCGTAGCATGTTGTTGCGATCACGTGGGCTCTGCATGTTGGATCCAAGCGCTGCTGGATAGAGAAGCTGGAGCGGAGTCAGTGGACTGCTTATATCGGAGCGCTTTTATCTGAGATTTTTTATACAGGCCGATAAAATCCAATACTTGTTTTTTGGCTGATATCGGACCGATATCAATATCAGATTGGGACACCCCCCACTTAGAAAAATGTTATACAAATAAAATGTATTATTATTGTTATCTGAATTGTTGCTTTAACTCTTCATTTGTGATTTTGTGCAAAAGGACCGGGTGTATGTACAGCAGAATAACGTAGAGAACGTCTACAACCTGGGGCTCATCATCTTCAGGGATCAGGTGGTTCGCTATGGCTGCATCAGAGACCACCTCCGACAGACGCTGCTGGACATGATAGCGCGGGAGAGAAAGGGAGAAGTGGTGGACAGGTAGCCAACCTTTACAGTGTTTTGCATAACTGTGTATGCACATCGATGGGTAATAAATGGTATAACTATTTAGATTTTTTTTTCAGAGTAGGGCATCTGAGCTGTTTAACACATCTTTGAAATTTTAGATTATTTATTTCTCTGAGCCTCATACAGTGGAGGCAAACTGGGTTTTTAATGTGAAAGATTAGTAAAACGTAAGCTGGCAGCAATATAAAGAGAAGCAAAAACTTGTTTCATGTTATAAATTTTCACCTTTCTGGGTTTTTCTTTAACATTTGGTCTCTTTCTCTCCTGCAGAGGGGCCATTAGAAATGCCTGCCAAATGTTAATGATCCTCGGCCTTGAAGGGAGGTCCGTTTATGAAGAAGACTTTGAGGCTCCTTTCTTAGAAATGTCTGCAGAATTTTTCCAGGTTTGGTTGAAAACACAATTTCCCCAGACTAGTTTTTTTTCTTTGGTACAATTTCACTTACTTGGGGAATTGTATAAATAAGTTTATAAAATAAATAAAAACTCATAAAGCTGATTCTAAGAAAAGCTTTGAAAAGTGATAACCTAGCATATACAAATATGTTGTTCTTTGTTTTTATTTAGATGGAGAGCCAAAAGTTCCTCGCAGAAAATAGTGCCAGTGTGTATATAAAGAAGGTAGAAGCCAGAATTAATGAGGAGATTGAGCGGGTAATGCACTGCCTGGATAAATCCACAGAGGAGCCTATCGTCAAGGTGGTGGAACGTGAGCTCATTTCCAAACACATGAAGACCATTGTAGAGATGGAGAACTCAGGCCTGGTCCACATGCTGAAGAACGGCAAGACAGACGGTATGCTTTCAGCCACTTGCTGGTCCTTTATAATTAGTTATACAGTAATAATCCAGATTTAGAAGGATTTGATTTAATTTAAACTGGTGTGAACAAATTGGAAAACATTTTTTTGGTTGGTTCTGATTTACCTTTTTCACAAAACTAAGATGTTCAAACCTGTTTGTTTGTTTGTTTGTTTGTTTTGTTTGTTTGTTTGTTTTCTAAAAATGGATTTACAAAACGTGCGCACAGATTTGGCCTGCATGTACAAACTTTTCAGTCGAGTTCCCAATGGGCTGAAGACCATGTGCGAGTGTATGAGTTCATACCTACGAGAGCAAGGCAAGGCGCTCGTGTCTGAGGAGGGAGAAGGAAAAAACCCTGTAGATTATATCCAGGTGAGATGACAACAAAGCAGTAGGAACGTTGTGTGAAATGTCTAAATAATTCATAATGCTGACATGTTTTAATAAAAACTAAGATCCTGTTCGTATTTTAGAGAAAGGAACTTATAAATCCTAAGCTTTTTAGATGATTTCCACAAGCTCTGCTGTTATAATCATCTCAGTCATCTGTCGTTTGAGCTCTAAGAAGTACTTTATAACAGAACTGCTGTTTCTAAAGCTTTACTGATTTTTATTTTTTAACGTGACTTTCCTTCTCCCTGCAGGGTTTGTTGGACCTTAAATCCCGCTTTGATCGTTTCCTCCAAGAGTCTTTCAATAATGATCGACTCTTCAAACAAACTATTGCTGGTGATTTTGAGTACTTCCTTAACCTGAACTCCCGTTCCCCTGAATACCTGTCACTCTTCATCGACGACAAATTGAAGAAGGGAGTAAAAGGGGTGAGTCTTTTTACAGATCTACACTTATTATGCAGAACTAGGGCTGCCACGATTAGTTGACTAGTCACAATTATGTCAACTATTAAAATCGTCAACGACTAATCTAATAGTTGATCCATCATTCTTTTTCTAACGTTGTATTGTATTTTTTTCATAGTCGACTAAATCACCGATTAGTTGACTATAAAAATAATCGTTTGTAGCAGCCCTAATTACCACTACTGCGCATGTGTGTCAAGGACAGAAAGGCAGACGCAGCAGTGGAAGGTGCCGCAGCAGTTTGGAGAGGAAAAACAAAGTTAAAAAAACCATGCATCAACTATTAAATTAGTTGATGATTTTAATAGTCGACAATAATCGTGACTAGTTGACTAATCGTGGCAGCCCTATCCAGAACAAATCACTGGTTTTGTGGATGGTCTGTTTAGTCAAAATCTATTTTCTTTCAGTGAGTAATCTGTCGAGACAGGTCATAAAATATGTGATTTTTTTTATGCAGTACCACAAGATCAAATATTTTGTACATTTTTCTTTTTAAAATAAAACTGCTGTTGAGTGCATTGGACATTTAGCGTGCATGAGTTTATCATTTCATTTCCATATAATGTAGAGAGAAAGTGATTGATTGTGGCGATTGCAGTCCGACACTGATTTGTACTTATTTTGTCCAGCTAACAGAGCAGGAGGTGGAGTCCATACTGGACAAGGCCATGGTGCTCTTCCGCTTCATGCAGGAGAAGGATGTGTTTGAGAGGTACTACAAGCAGCACCTGGCTCGAAGGTTGCTCACCAACAAGAGTGTCTCTGATGACTCTGAAAAGAACATGATCTCAAAGTTAAAGGTGAGCAGGAGTGTCGTATTACAGCTGTGTGCTTGTGGAATAATTTCAGTATTTACAAAAATAAAAGCTGAGCCTTTCTTATGAGAAAATGGTTATTTTGTACACTACACATTGCATGTGTTTGTGTTAATTTACTAAAAGTGTGTTTTGTTTTGTTTCAGACTGAGTGTGGCTGTCAGTTTACCTCCAAACTGGAGGGCATGTTCCGAGACATGAGCATCTCCAACACCACCATGGATGAGTTTAGACAACATCTTCAGACAACTGGAGTGAGGAGGCGACACGCTGCTGTTCATTCAGTCAAATTAATAACTTTTTCCTGGATGACTGAGAGTCCACACCAGCTCAGTCCTTACTGTTTGTTTGTTTGTTTTTTTTCCAAACTCCAGGTTTCTCTTGGAGGGGTTGATCTCACTGTGAGAGTCCTGACCACTGGATACTGGCCAACACAATCAGCAACACCCAAGTGCAATATCCCTCCTTCACCACGTCACGCATTTGAAGTATTTAGAAGGTTTGTCACTCATCCTGTTGTAAAAATGTGTGGTTGTGTTCAGACAGCCTCCCAGGTTTAAAGAGTTGGTAGATTATCTATTTTCTTCTGCTAATTCTAAAATCTTACCAACCTTCAGAGCTCAGATGTTCTTATTTTAGATAAAGGACCAAACACAAAAGTCACCAGGGTTTTGTGACTGTACTTGTCCATGGTCATAGCTGCTTTGTCTGCGTTTTAAACTAAATCAAAGGCAACAAAATAAACAAACTGTACATTTCTTTAGGTGAATACTCACTTGTCTTTCCTCCACTTTGTGTGCCTTCCAAAGCAACAAGAGGCCGACAGCTACCATTATTTTAATTTAACCGTTTCTAAAATCATTTAGACACAGTCCAGCTTTTACAACGTAAAAAAATATCTTAAGGACCAATTATTGATTTGCATCACTTTTCATTTAATATCTTAAAGTCCAACTCAAACTAAGGAACTTTGCAGTGTTATTATAAATCCTGCAACATTTACTTTTACATTCAAATACTCCACTTAAACTTAGAAATTTATATCTACTGTGAATCTGAACTGTTTTTACTCTAAAATGTTTCTATTATAACTTTTCTTATTTAAAAATGAATTGTTTTGTCATCTCTTACTTACCTCCTAGAAACTTAAAAAATGAAAGTTATGATTGAATTAAAATCACAGTTTTGTGACAAAAATTGGTTCCTTAGTTATAAATATTTCCAGAATTTTCCACAATGTTCATTAAAGTGCGTATCACTTGTGGAATATTATTTTTGTGTAATCCTATGATCAATGCTGAAGTTAACCAACAAACAGGATAAAACCCAAACCAAAACGTTTGACATTATGTTTACCACCATGTAAGATTAGTTTGTTGGTAAGTCTTGGAGGTTAAACTGCTATGATTCCTGTCTGATTGCAGGTTTTATCTTGGTAAGCACAGTGGGAGGCAGCTCACCCTGCAGCATCATATGGGCTCTGCAGATCTAAACGCTACCTTCTACGGTCCCATCAAGAAGGTATGTCCCACCTGGTTTGTTTTGATCATGTTGTCGGTGCTGCTAAACTGTCACCTACTTTTGAATCATGTTTTTATTTTATAACAGTTCAAGTTATTTTGTACCAATATATGTGTTGTAGGTGTTTGAGTATATTTATTTATTTATTTTTTACATAATGAATGTTTTTCACGTCAACAGGAGGATGGATCAGAGGTTGGAGTGGGCGGGGCCCAAGTGACAGGCTCAAATACCAGGAAGCACATCCTGCAAGTTTCCACTTTTCAGATGACCATCCTCATGCTCTTCAACAACAGAGAGAAGTCCACTTTTGAGGTTCACAACTCAATACTGTCACACACACACACACACACACACACAAGCAGAGTAGCACATTAGCATTACATAATCTTACAAGAGTGTCAATAATTTTAGTCTCTTGGTTTAATATAGACAGGTTTTAAAATAAAAAAAATAATAAAATATATATTTAAAGAAGACAAAAACAAAACAAGTCACCTCAGCTGTCTGTTCAGAAAGGATTGAAGGGATAGTGTTTGTCCTTTGTTAGGTAAATATGATTATTTTTACATATTAAATAGTACTGGACATGTCTCCTTAAAAGCAATAACGGCTTATTTGTAACCTAAATAAAATCAAAAGATTCTCTTACTCAAGAAGTTTTTTTGTGTTGTGTATTCAAGGTTTTTTTAGGTGGTATTTACAGCTTCAAACTAGTTTATTTTTACAATTTCTATCTACCTTCTCTAATACAACCCCCCCAAAATTATAAAGAAATATGTTTCAGTTCACAAAAAATAATATGCTGTGTGAAGGACAACTTGAAAAGAATTGTTTCTCAATTTTATCAAGTGATGTACACTTTGAGTTAGGGCTGCGAGGTATATGAGTTAGACGGTGGAAACGATATGAAGCTGGCCTACGGTAGAAATTTTCTATCTTTCTATTTTCTATCTTCAAAATATAATGAAGAAATATAGCATTTTAAAACACATATAGAGAGAATAAACCCTCAAAATTTCCTCCTCCCACTGTAGAAAACTTACATTGTGTCGCAGCTTTAACAACTGCAGTTTTTTTTCACACCCAAGTTGTCTGAGAAAAACTTGTTTTTTATTTTTGTTACCCACAGAGATGATAAAAAAATGTCATTCACTCAGTCATAAATTCATTTTGCTAATGTTACAGTCTGCTCTATGATGAAGATGAGTGCGCAGCAGAGCAGCAGCTGATAAGCTCAGCAGGCAGAAGCTCATTGTATGGCAGGCCGATGTTACATTTATTTGGCTTCATCACACTTACATTCCAGTTATGTGACAATAGCTACGTTTACATGGACATAAGTAATCGGATTAAATGGCCGTTCGGAATAAAAATGCRTCATGTAAACAGCCCGTTCGGATTATTCTGACCCAATTCAGCTCGATCCGAATTAATTTTTACTCCGAATGAGAGGGGTGGGTTATGCTGATTGATAATTGGAATGACGTGCATGTAAACACTTAATCGGATCATCATATTCTGATTGTGGAAAACTGACCTGAGTGTGCAGGTCTTCTGACTTTTATCCACCGGGTTCTGCTCTTTAGAGGAGGTGGGACAGCAGCGCTCCAGCTGCGCTGCGCCACGCAGAACTTTTCCTCCTCGCTCTCTTAACAGATGAAAAAGGAGACAAACAGCAGGCGTTGCTTCGCAAAAAAAAAACACGTATTGCTTCATCTGCAGCTCAACTGGGGAGTAACAACGTCTCTACTGTTATTAAAAGCTGACACGGGTCTGTCCTGAGYGCACAGAAGAGCTTTGTTTACGTTTTTAACACGGAAGTAGAGCTGAACGTTTACAACACTGCGCATGTCCGGACTTTTATTCTGAATAAAAATCCGCTGCGTGTAAACACTTGTCATGATCGGATTGTGTCCATGTAAACAGTACATTCGGATTATTTAATCCRAAAACATTTCAATCCGATCAAAAAATTTTGTGCATGTAAACAAATTGATTGTTTTATGGCTAGGACTATGTGCAGCTAAAGGTCCTGTCACACTATAACGTTTTAGGTNGGCTAGGACTATGTGCAGCTAAAGGTCCTGTCACACTATAACGTTTTAGGTAACATTGAATTTTTTTTACATCTAAATGACTAATTTTACTTGAAGTACTGGTTATAATATCCACTTTTGATTTTGTTGAAAATTTGAGAAATGTTTTTGTTTGTTTTTGAAACCGTTTTCCAATATATATAGAACATTCTTTTGTACTTCTGTAATGCTCATTTGCACTACAGCAAAAATACTTGGTTTGATTATGATTACAGTTTTCTGCTAAATAAAAGCTCTAAAAATTACATTATCTTTGCTTTTTATGGTAATTTTCTACCATGATATATACCGTTACTGTGAAGGGATTCAGTTTATACCGTGACATGAATTTGAGGTCATACCGCCCAGCCCTAGTTTGAGACAAGTTTCACTGTCTTCACCGTGTAGGAGATCCAGCAGGAGACGGATATCCCAGAGAGGGAACTGGTGCGAGCGCTGCAGTCTCTGGCCTGTGGGAAACCCACACAGAGAGTTCTCACTAAGGAGCCCAAGTCCAAGGAGATTGAGAATGGACACGTGTTTACAGTCAATGACCAGTTTACCTCTAAACTGCACCGGGTCAAAATCCAGACAGGTACACAAAAATACCAAGCTTCTGTTTGCTTTTGTAAGATTCAAAATTAAAAGATAGTGTTTCATTTTGACATTATTGTGATTTGTTGGACCATATCCAGTGGCTGCTAAACAGGGAGAGTCGGATCCGGAGAGGAAGGAGACGCGGCAGAAAGTGGACGACGACAGAAAGCACGAGATTGAAGCTGCTATTGTTCGCATCATGAAGTCTAGAAAGAAGATGCAGCACAATGTTCTAGTAGCAGAGGTCAGTCTGCTGATATGGTTGCTTTTGAGTTTTAAAGAGCAGCTAAAGTTTATTTAAGCTTAAAGAAATTAATACTAAATTAGTGCATTTGATTCTGTACTCTTTGTAGTAAACCATCTGAGTAGAGTAGAGCATTTTACTCTCTGGAAACCCTCCTATACCAGTTTGAAGTGTTTAAAGTGTAGTAATCAAAACGATGCAGCTGCTTTCAGAGTGAGAATGATGACAGGGTGGAAAGAAACTGATTTCTGCTGTTTTGTCTCTGCAGGTCACACAGCAGTTGCGAGCACGATTCCTTCCTAGTCCTGTAGTCATCAAGAAACGCATAGAAGGACTCATTGAAAGAGAATATTTGGCAAGAACACCAGAGGACCGCAAAGTATACACTTACGTAGCGTAACGAGTGAATTAATTGAAAGCTAGCATCAAGTTGAGCTAACCGAGGGCTTTGTTTTTGTGGACTGCAATGTGTTTGAATGAACATGTTAGTGCTGTCGTCAATGATTCTGGGAAACACTGGGAAGCCTAAAATTTCTTCCATAAAAATGTGTTTAAAAAAATGAAAAATGAAAACAAAAAAAAAACACGCAAGAGATGGCGAAGTTTTCTAGCAATATTAGATTTCTTCTGCTAAAAGATGTGCAAGGAGGGAGAATCTAGTTTTGTAAAAAAAAAAAAGAAAGAAAAAACTAAAAACAAAAACCAATGTTTCTTCTTGTGGCCTTTGAAGAGAACTGGGTGAGCCTTTTTGCTGGTTTATTTCACTGTCAAGAACTCATAAAGCAAACACGAGGCTACGTGGAGACCAAGAAAACATTTGAACTCACTCCCCTGTTTTAAATGTCGATGTGTTCTGTTTGTGTTCGTGGCACAATAACGGCTGTACAGATGGTGGACAGTCTCTGCCTTCTCCTCCTAGAGGATTTTTACACATAAAGCAAAGAAAGAAGTGTTAGCTGGTACAGACCTGCTTTATGATGGCAGGAAAGTACATTTTGGAGATTTAAGAAACTGCTCAAGTTGCTTAAGTTATCTGTTTTGGAGGGATTATTTTATATATAAATACAGTGCACCTCACTCAGCTGAAATATATAATAAATGTCATTTCACCAAGTCTGTACTAGTGTCCAGAGAGATTAAGGGCTGTTGGTTAAACGTATTTTTAATGGGTCAGTCAGGGGAATAAGACCTAAAACTAATCAACGCTTGGTTCCTCATGGCACTTTTTTGTTTGATTGAAGGCCTGTTGTATGATCAGCCAAAAAAAAAAAGTTCTTTTTGAAGGTTTCTCGTGGTGCAGGTTTCAAAGAGGACTTTATTTTCCTTCTTCTTTTTGAACAGCTGAAGCCAGTTTAGCACCATGCTCTCTAATATGTACAAATTGTAAAATAATTGTACTCACTGCAATGGTGGATTGTACAGGGCCTTGTTTTCATCVTATTAAATGTAGAATTACAGAAAATTTAACAAACTTTTTTTTTTCTTTCTTTATTTTGAACACAGCATCAAATACGAGCCTCTGTGACCGCAACAAGAACTCACTTTAAACGCAAAGCTGCAAAGTAAATTTTCTGTGCAAGAACAGGACAGGAATCCTGAGTGGGTTATTTTATTTTTTGGAAATTCACTCATAACTTTTTACCCTTTATTATTATAAGACTATCATTCAGATGTTTAAATAACAAGATTATTTTTGGCAACATGAATACATTTTTTCTGTGCAAATGGAATGTTTAACAGGATACTGAGAAGTGTTTCAAATATTTACAGTTTGACACAAAGTGGAAACCCATTTTGAGAGCTAAAGTCATGAAAAAAAGCTAGCAGAGTCAACGCGTTTTTCTAAAGTTAGAAAATATTAGATTAATCATGTGAAGCTATAGTTTTGAATGAAAATATCACAATTAAAATGAGTAAAATATGTAACAAACAGATTCAGTGACTGGCAGGACTGAAATATTACATTCAAACCTGTGATTGACAAAGACTAATTATCTAATATGAATCATTTTCATTAAAATAGCAAATGGGTCAACTTTTAGGCAACAATAGTACATTTGTTGTTGAAAAATTATCTGAAATGCAGTGGTGGGCACAGTTCCCCTAAAGCACTAATAGGGGAACTAATTTCCTGATTAGTGCTTTAGAGCTTTTGCTAATTTTTGAATTTATTTGTGGATTAGCACTTGCTAAAGTTAGAAGCACTAACTGAGGTCTAAATGTTATTGATGAACGTTATGTTAACAGCTGATGGTGAAAGCTGTCACATTTTGTTCATATGTGTGTCACTGATCCACTGTGACAATATATTTACAATATATGAACTCAAATACAGCTGTGAAATATCAATGATAAGAATTAAGAGAGAAACATGACAATATTGTGTGTGTGACTCATGTTTTCTGTTGAAGAATGTTCATTGGTTGACTGGGTTATTTTAGTGCTTTAAGAGTTAGGGGACCTAAATATTTGAGTTAGGGATAGAGCATAAGTGCAAATATTTTGTGCTTTTACCTTGAAATCTAATAAAACTTGGAGGAAAAAAGGCAAAGTGCAACTTTAGGTGGATCAAAACAAATTGATCTGCCGGGGGTGATTTGTATCAGAACGTTCTGTTTGACAATTTAAAAGATTTGCTTTGGATCTGGACAGGAGTCAACGTATCAAGTTGTATACTCAGTATTACAGAAGCATTTATTGAACCTGATGATTTTTCTGCTGTTATGTCCTTCCTGTGAATATTGACAAAATCTAAATCCTGTTTAAAGAAATTTCTCTCAATGAGAAAAGTCCTAGTTAAATTGTGTTTACGTGCATTTTGTTGCAGGAATACATGCACTGTAACATTTGTTTGGGTTGCGTTTTGCTCCGTTTGCATTCGAAAGATGGAAAGCTGTGAGGATTACAGATTATGACAGATTAAATCAATGTGTGATTTATGATAGGGTTTATATTGGACTAGTTTCTGGGTTAATCATACTGTTTCTGCACATATTAGAGTTTAATGTTTTAACAAGGATGTGTTTAAATTCCAGGGTGAAGAGCCTTCCCTGCTTATTTAAATATGTCCAGCCCGTCTGGTCTCTGTCCTTTGTCTTATATTGTCAGACTGCTGCCATCTGCTCTGCTTATTGTGTTATTATTATTATAAACTGCTTTGGATTAAAGCAGCTTTAGCTCTGCTGCTTCCCTTCGCCTGTATTTACTCTGTAAACAAACTACAGWGACTCCTCTGGACTCTAACGTGGACGTATTTTGTGGCATTTTCAGTAAACATTTTTACGGTAACGGTGTTGGGTTCCCTGGTGACGTCACTGTCCCAGTGATGTGTCCCCCCTCCTCCGGCAGGGCTGTGGAAACACATCAAACGGGATGCTTGGCACTTTGACTTCGGGTTGTTATGAAAACAGCTCCAGCTCGGAGCTCTGGTCCGAACGTGAAGGTGTGTACCCGGACGATGCGGCGGAGGGTGACCGTGCTGCAGAGAGCCGACGATGGGAACGTGGACTCCGGAGCAGAAACAGCAGAGTGAGTCGAGTTGTCTCCGCGTTAKYTTCAGGCTAACTAGCTTCAGGCTAACTGTTAGCTTCAGCAGCAGCCACAGTTCATTTCTGCCCCCAAAACACGTGACGCTGGCATTTTAAGTGTCGACTCTTTTATTTGTCTTTACTGTGCTTTTATTCACGTTAGCTCTTTCAGTGTAAATAAACTTTAGCTCTTGAATGCTAACAACAGATCAAGTGTTGTCATGGTGACCGAAGGAGACGGGCGGGTTTCCAAAGCAACCACCGCAAGATGGAGACATATGTTTGTCTTTACTACAGTCATTCATGTGCTGCTGAAGCTGCTTTATTTTGTCTTTTTCTCTTTTTTTAGRTCTGACAGGAGCAACAGGTCGTCTGCCAGTAAGTTCTTCATAAATCAAATCAAACTTTATAAAGCGCGTTTCACGCATGAAGCAGCCCGATCAATGTGTTTTCAATTAAAGCATAAAAACAGCTGTAAAACAATCATTAACCTACTCGTGCTTTTGCAAAATACATTTTTTTAAAACTTTTTAACTATAAACAATAAAACTATAATTCATCCCTTTTAGAGCACAAGTACAAAAACAGCTTTATCTTTTGTTGAGTCAGCAGGTCCCGAGTGGTCTGACTTGTCTTTTATGTGTTCTAGTGCCTTTTTAATACTTTTTACAAGCAGTGTRCCACAAAGTTATACTTGAGTAAAAGTACAAGTATCTTACCAAAAATTTACTTTGGTAAAAGTTTCAAGACTTTCTACTTCTTTTTTTTAATGTAAGGATTAGAAAGTACAGATAATTGGGTGAAAATGTAAGAAGTAGAAGTAAAAAGTAGGCTGAAAAAGAATGACTCAAGTAAAGTACAGATACCCAAGAATTTCTACTTAAGTACAGTAACAAATTATTTGTACTTAGTTACCTTACAACTCTATACACGTAATTTAAATGGATTCCACTCAGTGTTGTATAAAGTACCTCAAAGGGATACTTAAATAAAAGTACAAGTATCTTACCATAAAATTACTTTGGTAAAAGTTAGTCTCCTCTTAGAATATTACTTGAGTAAAAGTACAAGTATCTTACCATAAAATTACTTTGGTAAAAGTTAGTCTCCTCTTAGAATATTACTTGAGTAAAAGTATCTAATATATTTTGTACTTAAGTATCAAAAGTAAATTTCTGACATAAAATGTACTCAAGTATGAAAAGTAAAAGTATTAAGTAAAAATGAGTGGCTAGTTTTTCCAAAAAGGACATTTATTGGGAGGTGATGCCCTCAAAAACATTCTTCTAATGGCCAAAATGACTATAATGTCAAATCAAAATGTTAATGTTAAAAAATTTAGGATGCACTAGTCTACCTTTTCCAGCTTGCTTATGGTTTATACTTCTCATCCAACCACAGTTAAATTCACTCTGTCCAGGAAGCACCGTTTATCAGGGTAATATTATTTTAACGGCAGCAAGCCATAATGAAATAGGAGTAACGACTTTCTACTTCTTACCTTTTATAAAAATGTAAGGAGTAGAAGTAAATAGTAGGCTGAAAAATAATCAGTTAAGTAAATTGCAGATAGCCAGAATTTCTACTGAAGTACAGTAACAAAGTATTTGTACTTAGTTACTTTATAACTGATTCCACTAAAGCCAAGTGCCATCATAGACCTGTGGTCTTCCTGTTTGATGAAAAAGCCTCACTTTGTCAGCGTTGCCTAAAGACTTCTGAGGAAAATTGTGTTCAGTTTGATTAAAAACTAATCTCAAACAGATCCATACTTTGTGTGAAGCTGTCTGCCTTGACTGGTTGTGTTGAGGACAGAATCTGTGAATAATTTTCATGCATGGTGTTTGTGTGTCACCTCAGTGGAGCGCGTGGCCCGACAGCAGCTCCAGCAGATGAACCTGCATCTCCTTGCCAACCCTGGAGACTCTCTGCTGCTGCAGCAGACCCTGGACCACCTGCTACACTGGCTGTGCCCCAGCCTCTGCATTTTCCACGTGTCAGAGAGGGCCTCCCCTGTCAGAGCCCACACCCACCTGTGTCTCGTGTCAGGTGGGGGTTAGTCTAGAGTCTTGCGCTGCAGTCTGCCGTAGATGTCTCCACACTGATGAAGTCACGTCTTTTTGACAAACCTAGTTAGGACCACACACCTGAAAACACAATATGTTTACCTTTTTGGATAAGCAGTTAATTTTTTGTGGGGAAAAAACGCTTTATAAAGAAAAATAACTGAAACTTACATTCAGAWTTTAGAGGTATTCAGGACCGTTTCTCTTTTTGTTTGGCATTAAGTTCCTGTCTCTAAAAATCCCAGGCTACCCGTCTTTGGCCATCACTTTCTTCCTCCACGAGGCGTATGGTGAGGAACGGATCCTCAAAGTGCTGGACTTCTTCCAGCGGCCGCCCTGGCAGTACCATCACACGGAGAACTGTGGCGGCCRGACCGGAGGGGTCCACATCACGTCCAGCGGTCTGTCCTCCGACCCCCTGCTGCGGCCCTACCTCCTGCCAAGCAGGGACTTCTACAGCCTGGGTGTGGGGATGCCTGTGTGGGGGGTGCGGCCCGTGCACTGCGGGGGAGAAACGCTGCGCGTGACTCTGTTCAGCAGCTACGACAACTACGAGGATGCCGTGCGGCTCTATGAGACCGTGCTGCAGCGGCAKGCGGAGCAGCAGAAGATGGGATTCTGCTGGTTCACCGTCCACACGGGTAAAGCTCTGCAGCTGACAGATTGTTAATTTTCACACGTGTTAACATTCTAAAATGTTTGTTTATAAATTACAGTATTTATTCATGTATAATATGATCTCAAGTATAATACAATCATCATTTTTTAAGTTTAAAAAGCTTAAAAATCTAATCAGCAATAACCTGTGTATAATACTACCCATTCACTTTATGGATGATGCTAGGGTTACATTTCAAGTATTATACATTAATAAATACAGTATGTGTGGGAGAAATATCTGTTTTAAATAGTTCTAATGTTTAAAGCAAAAAAAATCCTGTTTTTCTTTTGTTTTACTTTTAAAGTGATGCATGATTAGTTGTAACATTAGACTTTATTTAATAAACATATATTTTAACTGTAACATAAAGAC